ATACGGAAAATAAAAAATATATAGGTATATTATAAATTAAATATATTATTTAGGTTATAGTATCTATTGGAATAACGACGCAGACGAAGTCGCTAGTAAAAGATTATTATATCTCTTTAGTTATTAAATTACTACGTCATCTATTAAGGAAAACACAAAAATTGCGTGTCTGATCTTGATCAAATATGGACTTATTCATTACTAGTCACCAGTTTTAAAGAGATATCAAAATAGGTTATGACATCAGTGGAAGAATGAAGTATTTTATTGTGACGCTGGTTTACTGTGCATAATTACTCATAATTAAGTTACATGCATTACTTTTTTTATTACACTAATTTCATAGGTAAACATTGGTTTGATACGCGTAATCGCCTATAAGTAAATTAATGTAGTGTAAGTATTAGCATGTATTATAATGCAATAAGACGCATTTCCTTAACTAGACTTTGATTAATTTTAAAAATTGCAACCAGTGTTTGCGTAACTATTGCAAACACTTCAAGTTTGAATTGTACTTGTTTTTGTTGAGATTTCTGTCTGTACTCTCTTATCCTATATTATTAACGCTAACATTTAGGATTGCGTGGATTTAAGGTTATTTATCACTGTTATGTAAAAAGTGGTGCTGTGTGTGACACAAGATGGTGGTAAATTTCATTAGAACCCGATTCTAATTAATTTTAGTGGACAGATTACTATTCCGATTAAGCTACATTTACAGAATGGATATCTTTTACAAGGACAAGAGCGTTTGCTTGTTTGTGATGGATAAACTCAGAAACCACTTAGCATACTTTATTAATATTTTATCGTCTCTATATATACATATATATATATATAAATATAGATATGGTAATACTAGCTGTGCCCGCGGTTACACCCGCATGAAATTTATAGCCTACGTGTTATTCTGATGTATAAACTATACCACTGTAAAGTTTCAACAAAATCCGTTCCGTAGTTTTTGCGTGAAAGAGTAACAAACATTCATCCACACAACAGTATTTTCGCATTTATAATATTAATAATTAATAATAATAAGATTTGGGAGTAACTTGGGCTGTAATAAATTATAAAATAAATATGCTTACAAAATTATTAAAAACAGAAACTAATGTTTATGTACTATTTAGAAACAGGATATTGATATATTCCTGTTCCCATAACAGTATTAATAAATTATTCTTATTTTATTATATCTTTAAGGATGTTTTCACTTACGTATTGTAATAGTTTTTGATAAGAAATACTAAATTATTTTGCTTATATCCGTTATTGATAAATATTTAAATTATACAAATTGCATTTGGTTCTTTTTTTACAATAGTGGATATAATATCGAAATTACTACATCCATTAGTTTTATGTACATAACTTCATATATTACAAATAAGCTTTCCAATATTGATATGAAGGTTGGCAAATAAGCATCCGGTCAGCCTTATGGTGAGTGCTTACTTAGCTTATAAATATTTGTAATATTAGGGTTGCCACTTAAAAATATATATGAGTTGAACTCATGAATATTTTTAACGGAATGGGTTTTAAACCAAAACTACATAGTAACTAATAAGGCCTGGAAATCTGGGAAAAAGGAAATAAAGTTCCAATATAAACTGAAGTTTAAATTAATTTGTATGGAACATTATTATTTTACTTATTACTATATTATATATTATACTTATATTATGTGTATAATTAACAATTTTAATGCTTGAAAAATCTAAGTGTTTTCGTTATGTACCAAATACAAGTGAAACACCCCAACCGATATAAATATATATTACTATAGTCATTAATATAAATATTTGTATTGCACAGTGATCGAACCTACGACCATTCGAAAGTAGACCAGACGTTCAACTGTCGAGGTCATTGGCGTCACACATGTTAACTATTTAAATATTCAGCTAAAAAACAAGGACGTTATTTTGTTATAGTTATCATTTAAATTAACAGGTGCTTTATTAAAATTACGCGCATTTAAAATACAAAAACATGTTGTTACATAAAAAAATAGACAAATTGCCTACCATATCACATGTGGCTGAAAATTTATTTAATAATTCTCAAAGAATACGATGATGCTAATTGTATAATGATAATTTATTGCTATTATTGTATAATTGGAATGACAAAAGAAGTTGACTAAATTATTATTTTAATTAGTATTTAACATATGTATTTACAGTATGTCCAAGCTATTTTATTCATTACTAGCTGCACCCGCTACTTCGTCCGTGTGGAATTGTATTTTATTTTTCTAAAATTAATGCATCCTGAGTAACTCCTTATTACATCAACTCCCTGCCAATAAAAGTCCCGTCAAAATCGGTCCAGCCATTTCAGAGATTAGCCGGAACAAAGAGACAGACAGACAGATTGTAAAAAATGTTATTTTGGTGTATATACCGTATTTATATTCATATGTATGCAGTAAAAAAAGGTTATTTCAATATTACAAACAGACACACCAATTTTGTTTATATGTATAGATAAAGACAGACAAATAAATTGTAATAGAAAACAAAATTTTAATTTCATTATCTGTTCTTGTTACCTACCATATTACGTATCTACAGATAGAAAACACGTAGCTTAAACTTCTAAGCTGTTTATTTAGACTCATATGGTGAGTAACATGTTATGGAAAATCTTATATCTGTAAGTAACCTGTAAGTTTATTTTGTACCTACAGGTAATCAGTGGATCGTAGGGATTATTAGACATACAAGATATATTAGGTATATATAGTTTAGTTTAGTATAGTTTCATTTATTGACAAATGTAAAAAAAAACATCTTTACATATATGGCAAGTCATAATATACAATAATGATATTTATAAAATTTAAATTTGATTACATACAATTAAATTGATATTATTAAATAAAATAAATTAAATTAATTACGTACACAATACACGGTATGACTAATTACAATACGTCATAATAATGTTAAAAATCATAATTACGGTATAATTATATAATTACATTTTGATTCATTTATTCTGTAATGTTAAAAAAAGAATGTTTTTCAAAATAACATTTTATTTTCAATTTAAATTCTTTTGGAGGCAATTGTCTGATAGTAATACCACAGATAACATAATATTACATAAGCTTATTATATATTTTTATTTTTAAAGTAATGCCTTGTTTAAATGTTTTATCGAGTCTTGTTTTTGGTAATTGTATATTATTATCTCTGATCAACGAGATGGTTGACTGGTAGAGAATGCCATCAGGTATTAAATCCGCCATGTAACATTGTTGTGTGTAAAAGAATAAATAAATAAATATCAGACTCAGTGACTTGTATATAGATATTAGTTTTATTTTCTATTGTTAGAGATAATATAACTGAAGTAACTAAAAATCTGATAGTAGAAATCGTCGCCTATATACATACATACATACATACAGCAACAGAGACATCACGTGATTATGTAACCGTCGTGATTTTTATTCATGCATTGCCATTGAGATGGACTATGCTACCATCCCTTCTATCCTGTATTTTCACTGCCTTATTCTTCTTCTTCTTCATGACTGCTTTATCGCCACCCTTCAACAGAACAATAGCTTGCTAGCCGGTCGGCCACTATGAGAATACCGAAGGCTTTTTAGAAAGTTAATATTTATAATTTAAATTATTTTTTTATAATTATTCTAACAACAGGTAAACATCAAAGATTTGCATATATACAGAATCAGAACCTATGTCGTATATGTATGTAATATTAAGTGTTTGTTGTACTGCCTCCTCTTATTTCGGTCTACATTTTTGGTCTGAATATTTAATTATTCTTATTATTCTTATTAATTATTCTTATAGTAAACACAAAGAAGAACACAATATCTGAAATTAATCTCGTATTATATTTTCTATTAACTTACTTTGTTTTCCATCTTTGTAAATCCAGCACATTAAAATAAAAAATATTTTTACCTTTGTGCCGTGTTCTGAGAACCAGCTCTGATTAATATGGAGCTAAATTGTAATGTATTGTAATGTAATTTAATGTAATATGGACTCTATTCTGCGATATGCAATATGCAATACAAGCATATGGAACGACATATCATTCACAATTTCATTAATATAGAATCCTTTTTTAAATATTTATTTTCATAACCATAAAATATATTTTTGCCTCTGAACCCTATATCTTTAAAATCATATCCCACTATGAATTTAACATTTTAGCCAATTATATATAACTAGTTGACCCGCGCAACATGGACTGCATCACAATAGCCTATGAGTTATTATGATGTATAAAGCTATATTACTCTAAAGCTTCATCAAAATACGTACTTTAGTTAGTTCAGTAGTTTTTCCGTGTAAGAGTAAACATACATACATTATATACATAAAGATATATATGTATATAATGTAGATAATAAGATTACATCTATAATATAATTATTTTATATTTTTTTTAAGAAGGGTATATTGAGGTTTCTTAAGGGTAGACAACGCGCACGTGATATCCCTGGTGTTTCAGGCGTTCATAGGCTACGGTAACCATTTACCATTAGATGGGCCGTATGCTTGATTGCCATCATCGTAGAATAAAAAAAACGAATTATACAAATACTAATAATATATAATATTAGCGTTTTTTCTCGATTCTATGTGCTTCTTTTGAGATGAAAGTGCTTCTACTATAATATACACGCCAAATTAAAATAATTCCGCTTTAGTTATCGGTACTTGTATATAACAGACAGACCGAATTTAAAATATCAGTATACATTATAGCTACACTATCTTAGAAATTGTAACACACAACAAGTTTCATCAAATCTAATATTGTACGGAACTAAATAAATCAAAGGCTGGCTACCCATCCATAAAGAAATGTATTCATACTGATTTAATTATGTAAATTTCAGTTATAACTAACAAGTACCAAAGCGGAAACGATTGTTAAGTTTAAGACACGCGAGCACTCACCTAGCTATGCTCATTGTTTCTACAACGCTCAGCGCTGTCACACCGTGGTATTGTGCTAGTGGCTAAGTGGTTGCACCGGTAATTAAGTGATCGAGTTTAGTGACTTAGTGGTCAAAAATGGCAACGAGATGGCAACCACCGGACATTGCCAATGTGTGCCCGAACCAAATAGCCCCCTTAACTCAGTGCTCGCAAACCGGCTTCATGTTTCTAGCACTAGTTACTCAGTTATTTGGGAAGTCCGTGGATGACGAATACTCATACCCGGGAGATAATCCTTACCAGAGTATTAACCAGCAACCGAGCTTCACTGGATTTCCATATGGGACACCTGCATCGGGAATCAATCAACAAACCTTCGGGCCATCTATACCGAATACTGGGTTCACAAACTTTAATCCAGGATTTGGACCTTGGTTAACTAACTTCAAGGAATCGGCTAACAAGCATAAAACTACAACACATTCTTTCGGCCCGAAGGGTAGCTACGGTGTATCGGAAACAATGTTTAATTTTAAAGATAGTTCTATTAATTCTGAAAGTGATTCATTTTCGAATTTCGAATCGACACGACCGATACTCGATTATAATTCGATTGGCCGCTCTAGTACATTTGATTCTAATACTGCGGACTCAAATACAGTGACGGTGACTGAGAAAGCCGAAAAGAAAAGCAGGAAAAAGAGGCATGCTGTTGAAGAGTATGATTTCATTGTGGTCGGCGCAGGTTCAGCTGGCTGTGTGGTTGCCAATCGTTTGTCTGAAGTAAAAAAGTGGAAGGTAAGAATATGTATATTATTAATATAAGAATTAGAATATAAGAGTTATATCTATTTAATTATATAATTTAACAAAAACAATGTTTGGTAGAAGAATTTTATTTCAGTCTTCAGGTATGTAGGCATCTTATTTAGAAAGCACGTATGTACGAGAAACTGGATTTAAACAAAATTTTACGATAAAACGCGCTCAAATTACGTAATAATAATAAAAAAAAAATCAAGGACGGACGGACGGAAGGATAATTTTTCCTTTATGTCAAAAAAGCAAACTAAGTGTTGTGTATTTTTTTCAAGAAATCATTGTTATAATTTACAATACCACATTTCTAGCCAAGTACTTACGTACGGAATGTAGGTTCTTGGTCAAAATATTTGTATTGCATTCATCAATACAAATATTTTGTATAGAAACACTTGTATAGTGTTTGTACATATGTATATATGTACATAAGTTGTTATCCGCAACTTCCTATGCTGTTTATATATTTTTTCATCCATTACTCATTAAAGTTTTATATGGGGCAAAAGATATATATTCACGTAACAAATCATTACGTTAACAAACAGACAGACATGATTTGATAAACGCCAAATTGTAATTAGTATGGATGGATATTACCTAAATAACATTTTTGAGCTGCAATCTATGCATATCATATAACAGTATCTGTATGTTTACTATAATTTCTGAAATAACAGATTTTTATACGGTTTTCATCTGTTACACAGCAAAACTTGATCAAAGTTTAAGTGTTAATAATAATAATTCGGTAAAGTTTTTAATAAAGTACCCTGCGAAGCCGGGGCTTATGGCTAGTTTACACATAACGAATTTTGATCAATCGATAGCGAATGCATTCTCAAACTTTTTAATTATACACTATGACACATTACTTACATACATATATGGACACAAATTAAACTATTATATAACATCTCAAGAATGAATCAAACCATTTAAATTTGAATTAAACTGTATTGAAATCAATTTATTTATATTATTAGTCTCTATACCCTTGGTTTCGTTTCAAAATAACTGCACATAACTGGTTTAGAATATATTTTTATGTACCTAATTAAAATGACAATCAAGCTGACAGACCACATGATGGTAAGTGATAACCATCGTTTAAATATAATACATACATACAATTATTATGTTCGCATGTAGCGTCGTGATACCGCTGATGTGTAGCCAATTCTGAGGTCAGACCTCTTATTCTTTAATTTCACTGCCTTTTCTCTTTCTGCAACCGTAAAATCACAAGCTCCTTGGCCAAACCGTCTAATAATAATAACGATAATAAATTAAACTCTAATTTAAGATACCGAGTAAATACGAGAAATAAAAAAAATAAAGAAAAACAGTAATACACTTTTTCACTCAACGTTATCTAGTCCCATGGTAAGCAGTGCTTGTGTGACTTGATATAAATACTTAGATATGTTTTTTGTAAACACATAAATGAAACAATCGAACTCATGAATATAAATGTTTGATCATGCGTGAATCCACAATAACATCGGAAGTATAACGGTATTCTAAACCACTAGACCACAGAGGCGGTCAAAAAATTAAAATATATTCATAAAATTAGTCTTAATACTATTATTAGTCTTGTGTTTTGAGGTATTGATTTATGGAAGATATGATTATCTATATATACTTTTGTTCAATAAAAACACCGACTATAATCGCGAAGAAATGAATATAGTCTAAACTCTATATTTACAATACCGGTCGTTAAAAATCGTTTAGTTATTCCAAACAGAGTTTTAAAATAGATTTTATAGAATTGAATATGTCGCTGTTAGTTATAATAACGTCCAAGTGTAATATGCGTCAAACGAATGAGTCATTTGATAGTATACTGCATGTGGTAAATTAAACTAGAGTTTGTACTATGGACACTATTATAAATAACAGTTAGAAATACTTTAATGTATATTTCATTTAAAATATACGTAATATAGATAAAATCCTAGATCAATATAAATAATGATGTTCATGAATACAAAAGTTTGTATCATGTTAGGATTCAAAACCATATCACTTTACCACAAAAGAATAGTTGAAATAGTAATTTTGTATTCTACTTCTCCTTTAAAACACGAATGATTTGTCAATAATAGATTTAGATAGACTATGTTTTCCATTTTTAATAGAAATCAGGGTAATACGTTAGTATGAGATTACCCACGTTTCCTCTCAAGTGAAGTAAACTCGAAATATATATATATATTTTGATTGAAGTCTGCAATATCATGATTATATTTACTTATTAGTTAATTACTTAGCTATCGCGATGCCTTCGCATACTAAGTAGAACTGAAGCTAAATTTGGATTTATTCAGGTATGCAGGAGATAGTCCATGTTACGTTAGGTAATTTACAAAGTACATTGTAAAGTCATTAAGTCTATTAGTATTGATTTAATCTTCGTTCTACTCGATATTTGTTGCAAGAAAATCAGCTTAAATTATTAATAATAATGGTAAGCAAAGAAATCTGGTTTTCTGATGTCGATATGGTGTATATCCTTAAGATGTCAATTCCCATGTTATAAAATCTGTAGTTATGCAATTTCGATTTATCAATTTGTAAAAAATGAGTTGTATTTTTAAGAGTTCATTTTGTAAGAGATCGAGTCTTTCAATTTGTAAAAAATTAATATTACTAATCAAAGGTTTCACTATATAATATTATTTCATCTGTGGTTTTACTGAAAATCTTAATAAATTATGTTCAGAAATATATGAGAAATATTTTATTAAGGAAACAACGACTTCGTCTGTCTGTCTGTGAGATAAAAGAGAGTTTATATCCATCCTCGACATACAATCTATCTTCACATCATTAAGTGCCTTTTAAGCATCGAAAAAGACGAGGGACAGACAAATTTTCAGTTTTATAATATTGGTAATGAATTATGGTAGTTAAAATATAAAGTTTCTGAATAGTATACTAGAATATTAATCAATGTACTTACTTTTTTGATGATTGAAAATTATGTTTGAAGCATGAAAACCATTTTAAACATTGTTTTTTTATTGAGGCCTAAGTGTTTCATTATATTTATGAAATATATTGATAATAACTTGGAAACCCTAAAATTACAATAATAACATCACATTTGTGAGTTATTTTATTATATTATTTCATTATTATTATGTATATATGCACTTAATTGGTAAATAATAACTAGATTTCCCTGATAAATAAAATAACAAAGTATAATTTTATTAAACTACTTGACCCACTTTTAATAAAAAAAAAAATTAAACTATACATAATTATATGAATACATTAGAGAATACAACAAATATGTCTGATTTAAATTAATAATTAAATTATAGAATAATTTCTGAACTCAAGCTAGTAACATATTAAACGGTTTAAAAAAAGAAATATATGTAAATTCGACTGCAGTTTTTATCATTCTGCTGACATGAAAAAGTAACAAACATACAAATAGACAATCTTTCCTCTTTATTTATATTATCAATTATGTTATCTGTGATATTATCAAATCAAATTAAATTATTAGTATAGAATATGTAAGTACAATTATCCTTTATCATTATAATCATATTTAATGTGTAAAAAGCAAAACTACCCTCGTCTAAGAGTGATTGACAATTAATTTCTAATGCTCACCCTTTTCTGTGTCGGGCAACATTAATCTGGCGCACACAATCAGAGCAGAACAATTTCACAATAATACGTCCTCAGTACAGCCCTGACCTCTAAGTAAGATCGTTGAACTGTCCCATTAATTGGGTTACTTCCTTCTATTATTATACTTAGTAGTTTGTTTAACGTCGCGTTGTCTTTACTTATTAAATCACGTTCGCTAACATTCTTGGATAATTGTTATTAGGGTTGTCACAACGAGAGACAAAATTGAAATTTCCTTATCTCTATAAACTCTCTTTCGTAACTTCGTGTACAGTAATTTTAAAGAACCGTTTACCGAAGTATAATTTGTAAATAGTCTAATCTTATTAATATTATAAACGCAAAATTTTGTGAGTATAGGTGAATGTTTGTTACTCTTTCACGCAAGAACTACTGAACGGATTTCGATGAAACTTTACAGTAATATAGCTTATACATCAGAATAACATATAGGCTATAAATTTCACGCAGGTGAAACCGCGAGCACAACTGGTCTTATATATATTTACTACCTGACCCCGCAAACATTGTTTTGACATATAAATTAAAATAGCTATTAAAAAATAGAGGTTCATGGTAGAAGATGAAAATTTAATGTATTTTTGTTGTCACATTATAAAAAAATAACAATTAAAAAAAATAAGGTCCAAAGAATTGAAAAAAAATGTTACGGATGAATAACCCTTATAATATAGGGTTATAAATAATAGACAGTAGCCGATTCTCAAATCTACTGAATAAGCATATCAAATTTCATAAATATATCATAACATTTTGACACGATAATTTTATATATAAAATACTTATATCTACACTACTGGTTGACTAGTAGACAATGCCACAAGGTGTTAAGTCCGCCATATGTACTTTTACCACAGTATTACGTGAATTTCAGTTGTTTAAATATATAAATAGTGGTCTGAATAAGTACCTCAGACATATATATTTTATCCGTCAAAACGGAATTCATAATGTAAGTTTGTTTAGGTACTCGTATAACCTGTAACAGGCGTGCGAGTTTCTAAACTAGCGTTTTTAGAAATTAATAGTAATATTTAATGGTTTTGCCTACTGGTGGTATAATCGTTACGGAAAATATTATTTAACTGTGCAAAAGAATTAAAAATGGTATCTCGATGTTTCAACGTTGTTGTTCCACGGAAGTAGTAGTAAATTGGGAGAATTCATCTCTTAGCAATAGACTTTGTAGAAAGTCGTTTAAGTGTACCCACTTAAACGACATACTGAAATGGGTGAGACAGACATACCTGCCTGTCTATTTCAGCTGACAAACAGCTTTCTTTGTATGCTGTGATTGG